ACTATACGATTGTGCATTAGGTAACAATAACAATCAGAATCTACCTAGATTCCTGAATTGCTCAGAAGCTACGTTAGACTGTTCGCTGCTGAACAACATGCTTGTTTTACTCAATGTAGTTGAAAACCCATGTACAACTTTTGACTCCCTCAAAAACTTAATTGCTAATAGCCTTCTGCTGGCTGGAAGCCTTACTGATAACATAAACAGTCGGCTCACATGTATCTTGTGTGTTTTGTATGTTATATGTAATATATAGTGCATACTTACAATAAAGTAAGCTAGAGAAAAAAATGTTATTGAGAAAGTCCTAAGGAAAACATATTTAAGGACCTGCTCAGTTCAAACCTGTGTTGTTCAAGGGTCAACTGTTTATACACAAGTGACATCACTGGGTGATCTCACTCCGTTTACACTCTCTGAAAGTTCAGAAGTGATCATATACCAAGGACAGAGTGCTCTGATAGGGGACTGGTAACAGACTAGGTCGTTCTCCACCATCTAACCCATTTGTCAAGGCTTTTCAAGACTTGTAGTAGCTAACACAGGCAGTAACCAGCCAGTTGAGGCCAGCCACCCACCATCTCGTCACTACCATTCCCTACCGCTGTCCTACTATCGTCACTTTGTCTCACGATCTCATTTCATAGTGCCTCCAGCTTTGGAGAGACAACTGTGTGCCAGGCAATATACTAGGGGCTGACAAACATTGTTTCATTTTAACTCTCAAAATAACCCTGTAAGCTTTTCCTATTTTCCCAATTATACAGATTTCTCAGAAAAGTAGGGGGTCTCAGAAAAGAAAATAACCCCCCACTAACCCAGAGTAAATAAGTGAGAACATCAAGAATCACACCCAGGTTAGCCTGAGTGCAAGCTCCAATGATATCTATATATACCCCTCTGTCGCTAATCATTTTATTATGCTAATCACCACAGTATAATATTGGCTAATCACCATGCCAATCGACTTCTTCCTGGTTCTTTTTTTTTAAGATTTTTCATTTTTTTAATGTTTATTTATTTTTGAGAGAGAGAGGGAGAGACAGAGCGTGAGCAGGGGAGAAGCAGCAAGAGAGGGAGACACAGAATCCGAAGCAGGCTCCAGGCTCTGAGCTGTCAGCACAGAGCCCGACGCGGGCCTTGAACTCACGAACCGTGAGATCATGACCTGAGCTGAAGTCAGACGCTCAACCGACTGAGCCACCCAGGCATCCCTAAGATTTTTTAAAGGTAATCTCTACCCCCAGCCCGGGGCTCGAACCCCCAACCCCAAGATCAAAAGTCACACACTCTACCAACTGAGCCAGCCAGGTGCCCCACTTCTTATTCTTTTCTGAAGAAAAAAGCCTCAAAAGACAAATATCCTAATAGAAAAAGAGGCAAGGAATTGAACAAATAGCTCACGAAGGAGAATATCCAAATGGTCACTAAGTGTATGAGAAGGTGCCTGATTTCATTAGTCATCAGAGAAATGCCAAGTACAAACATAATGGAGTTCTTGTACACATTCACCAGGCGGGCTAGAATGTAAGAGGTAACACCAAGTTTTGGTGAGGCACTCCTGGTAGGAGTGTAAATTGATGGAACTACTTTCGGAATACTTTGTTTACCACTATCACCTTAAGCTGAATACACATATATATACCCCACGACTTGGCATATGCGTATACATATGCAGAAGTACATATGCAAACATCCATAAAATAGCATGTCACAAATGTTCACAGAGGCAGTATTTATAGCAGCCCCAAATTGGAAACTACCCAAAGGCCTATGGATGGATGAATCTTGTGAGTATCATGATGAACAATGCAAACTGAACAGAGAAGTATATACTGTATGAGCCCAGCTGTATAAAATTTGGAAACAGGATGTTACAAGCCCGCTGCGCCCCCCCCCCCCCCCCCCCCCCCCCCCCCCCCGTCAGTGTGCGGAAGGGACCATGAGTGTGCTGATGTTGGTTGGTTTCTTGGTTTGGGTGTTGGTTACACAGGCTGGTTCACCCTGTGAACTCTCGTCAAGGTCGCCACTTAGGATTTTTGCGCTTTTCTGCGGGGAGGCGGTACCTCAATAAAACGTTTACTGAAAAGAGTTTGTATCCATCTCTGCTCTCCAGTGCATGCAAATGTCAGTAGTTTAGAAGTGCTTCACAGGGGCGCACACAGGGCTTACTATGCTTATATAGCCTTTTAAGCTTAAGAGTATTTATTCAGCTGACGGGTTTTCATGTCATTCAATATGATGAAAATAGCAAGACAGTTTAGATAAAAATAGGAATTTCTTCTGACATAGGAAGTAGGGTTCAAACAGAATGATCATGAGGGGTAAACCAAATAATGAAGACTAGGTCTTGGAGTCAAAGAAGAATGCCAAAGAGAAAGGCTGCTGCATTGAGTCTCAAAGAAAAGGGAAGGGGTCACAGCCTGCAGGGTGGGCGTCACTCGCAGAATGCTTTTGAATGTGGAGGTGGGGTTATGCAAATTAGGGGAGGGGCCCTAATAAAGGGGACAGCTGTGGAAGATAAAAAACCCCCGAAATGAAGAACTATGGCATATGTACATAACTTTATTCAAAACCCACGTAACTTTCATATTCTCTCTGAGACAATGTTGGAGTAGGAGGAATCCTTAAGAAAGCTGTCATACTAAAAAAAAAAAAATTATAAGAACTAGCAGAGGGTTCACACACACACACACACACACACACCAATTGATTTGTATGTTATAGCTAATATATATATTTTTTAATTTATACACACTTTAAATTCCCAAGCTTCAGTTGGATTTCGGTACTGGCATGATGGTCTAAGCCATCGTCCTCTGAAATGGACACTGGCTGGAGAAAAGCCACGAGGACAGTCCACATAAGGGGCATTCAGTGACCAAGGGCCCGGTCACTGGTACTACACACAGTTCTGGACTGTCCTTTGCCCTGTTGTCTCCCAGTCATTCAATGAGCAGCTCTGAGACTCAATGTGTCATTTGGAGACTTACAGGCAAGTTAGAGATCTCACAGAAAGACCCATTCACACAGAGTTCTTTTCCTCTACAGAAACGAAATATGTTTCACATTTGACAGACCTATAGCTTTGGGGTGCCTATCTCTAAGGAAAATTGCAATCCATACGTTAAACTGCCAAAGCAACAAGACTAAAACAGCAGGTGGATTACGGGTTAGAATTCCCCAGAGATAAATGTTCTAAAATAAAGGAAAATTTATTTCTAGTGACAAAGGTATGAATTTCTTTTATCTGTTTAAAATACAGTTGTGCTGTAAGTTTTGTGGATCCTTAACCAAAATGCAAGGTAAAAAAAAAAAAAAGTTTGAGAATGAGCAGAGGAGCCAAATCTTCTAAACTTTCCATCAACATTCCAAAAAATTACAGATCGTGCTGTCTCTTCCATTTATTTACATGTCCAGTGTAAGGAAAAGGACAAAGATAAGTAGGAGAAAATTATTACTTTTTTGAGGCCTTATTTCAGAATTCCTCCATCCAATAGGCCACATAACCACAGATTTCTTCTAATTCATTATATAAGAGTAAACAGGAATACATAAAGGTCTGGAGCTGTCAGCCTTCATTATTCTGGAAAAAATATGGATTTTTAATCTCAAATTACTTTTAAGCTTTTCTTTATGTGGATAATTTTACACTTTAAAAAACTTTCTAACGCTTTTCCCCTCAACTCCTATTAAAAAAGAATTGATCTTTCTGTTGGGGGTAAAAGAAAAAAGAAACCCATCTATTCCTGCAGATGTCGTCTTTAAAAACCTTTGCTGCCTACCTCACTACTACATTCACTCCTTGCGTATCAACTGTTGCATTCAAAAGACAAATGGCCCTGGATATACAACAATTACAGAAACCTTTACGTGAAAGGGGCTTCTCACACTTTGCCTTATTTAACAAAATTGAATGTTCTTCTTTCGGATCCGATGGGAAAGCATTCATCCCTTCCCTGCCTCCAACTCCCGGTCCTCAACTTTATTATTGAGATCCTATCAGATTTTGACCTTGTTTGTCCTGGAAGTGTCACGCACTATCTGTGCTGGTGGCCAGTTTTCCAAGGTCACGGATTTCTTTACATGACACCCTTAAGTATTGATTAGCTCCCTTTGTGGAATTTCCATTTGTTTTGCAGCCAGCAATCGCAGACCAGTGTGAAGCCGTTCGGCACTGCAGTTTGGCTAGCCTGCGGAAACCTCTTGTCCTCCCTCTTTCACATCAGTCCCTGAAAATGAAGTAGCCGCATGCAAAAAAAGAGCAGGAAAATAAAGCCGGCGCTTCCCCAGAGCCTGCCGGCTAGCGCACTGCACAGCATATTTCAATTAGCATCCAATCATTTTAAGTAGTGATACTTCAGTGTTTGCAGAAGCCTGCCTTGTAGAATTTAATACTCAGACAGCCATTTTGCAAAACACAGCAGGTCCGTGAAATAAGGGCTATTTCAGTGAAATAGTCACAGGATGATAAAGCTGCGATAAATCCTGGCGTTAGTGGCAACAGCTGTGTCATCCACCAAGCGATTATCATCTACGCTTTTTCTGAAGCTGTGCAAAATAGGATTTAATAGGAGCCTCTGTGGCTATCGTTAATTTCACAAACTCCATAGTATTCCTCTCTAAAAGAGATAATGTTTTTTTCCCATGCCATAATTCACACATGAAAACAAGGACTCCTTTAGGGAAAAGAGAATATCAACTGGTTTGAACTGATACAGATCTCTGAGACAATGGACTTCCCAAACAATCCCCGTGCAAGTGATTTCCAATCTTATCAAAGTAACACGGCACCAGAGATCTATAAAAACGTCTCCGGAACAATCGCAGCATCTCCCATACCTCAGGTGCCTTGAAAACTCGTAGTACCAATGACTGATTCCCTGGCTGATACTCAGCACAGGGATTAAAAACATCCGAGAGAGGCAACATGCACGAGACAGACACGAATCGTATTTTCAGCCCCTAGCTGCAATTCTACAGCAATAGAAACTTACATAGGACACCCGTACTCGCCGCCGATGCACCAGCCCACAGCACTGCATGAAGAGCGGTGCGGAACGCAGTCAGCGTGTGGCTTCACCGAGCTGCACTGTGCCTCCTCGTCTCATCACAGCCACTGTCCATTTCTTCCCACCTTGTGCTCCCAGGTAAGAGGCATGGGCAAATCAACACTTAGCTTCTGCCTTCCTAGGTAGTTTCTAAAAAACACCACGGGTCCTTGCAAGCATGCCAAAACTTTGTTGTCCCTGTTTTTCTTTTCTTTTCTTTTCTTTCCTTTTTTTTTTTTTTCGGGTAATTTGAGATCTTCTTCAGGGAGTTGTCTACAGACCAGAAAATCGGCCAAAAGTAAAATTTATTTTCCTGAGGTAACTATTCCTACCACACAGTTATGACCGTCCGGATCGGTAGAGTTTCTTGGCAACATTTTTACAGTAGCCATTCTCCACTCAGGAGACTGTCAGACATCAGAGAATCTTGCCTTTCACAAGCCTGCAGTATCCTGCTTTTTACAAGAGGAGGCCCTACTCCTGATGCTGTTTATGTTACTGCTTCTGAGCGCACGGCTCCCCCCGCTGCTGCTCTGCCATTATTGCCTCCCTTCCAGCGCTCAAACCAGCAGCAGCATCCTGGCCTCCGTGTTCTCTCTGTAACACTTCGGGCATATCTGATCTGCGACTTCTCCCTCCTCCCTTTTCCCCTGAAAAATGACCGAGTCTAGACTTTAATTCACTCTGGATTCCTAGGACTACAGAACCACCCTCCCAACTGTCAGACGCTTTGTCTTGCGGTACGTGTTTCACATGAATTGTAGAAAAGATTGCTGGAGTGGCCTCAGGACCCGACTCACTTGATCACTGCAGCTACACACAGGTTTCTGTGTGTGTGTGTGTGTGTGTGTGTGTGTGTGCGCGCGCGCGCGCACGGGCGCTCACTGCCAAAATATTCACTTCCTACGTTACAGCACATGAAATAAACATAACCCTGGTAAGTAAATCTGATCAGAGTCAGACATAATTAATTAGATAATATCATTAATTAGATGATCCATCGCCTACGATTTAGACACGAGACACAAAGTGAGGGTGCCTTCAAAGCAGGAGATGTTACAAATGAATGCTCCTTGCAAGCTGTAATTTACATTCTTCTCTAAAGATACAGTTTGCTGAGACTGAGCCGATCATAACATTCTTCCAAAAGGCCTTGTGCACGCCACACCTGAGAAGATGAACTATTAAGGCATTTGGGGGTAAAACTATTAATTTGTACGGTATCAGCCATTCTAACAAGCAAGGATTCATACAGCCTCCTAGTGTGCCACAGCTAATGATCTGCACTTGACCCCATGCCCAAGTCACTCCAGAGGCTGCTGCCACTCAGGAAGAGAGGTTAACTATTTCCCGCCACCCATGAAGATCACACCGCTACGCTCTTCAGGCCTTAGAAAGTGCAAGCCTATGAACTGTCGACACTTCACCATTATTTCCTTAAAACCTATGATTTAAAGTAACAAATCTTTATTACTATTAACAGCCCAAGGGGCTACTGGAGATGAAAACAAAACAAAACAAAACAAAACAACTCCTGCCTTAGTTTAATGTTCTTCCTTCACTAATAAAGTAACTAAGGCCCCAAATAAGCAGGTGTTTTGCCTATAAGTAACATAAGCAATAGTATTACTACACCCAGTAATTTATGTAATTTAAATAGTCTACGAAAATTCTATGGCTTTATCATATACTAATTAATCCTCCATGTATCAGAAGGTCCAAAAGGGAAATAATGAATAAATTATAGACAGACAATAAGGCTACTTTTGTGATGACATCAGAAACCTAGAAGAAAATAAAATTTCTAAATTACATTGCAAATTGGCTTTTAAAGGGAGATCTGAGGGGGGAAAAAACTCAACATCTTCTAGACCATCCAAGATGCATTTCCCGTAGATAAGACATAAATTTGATTTTTTAGAGAAACTTTAGTGAGAAATATATGTGAGATAGTTTTTTTTAATTTTAATGTTTATTTATTTTTGAGAGAGAGAGAGAGAGAGAGAGAGACAGAGTGTGAGCAGGGGAGAGGCAGAGAGCGAGGGAGACAGAGAATCTGAAGCAGGCTCCAGGCTCTGAGCTGTCAGCACAGAGCCCGATGTGGGGCTCAAACTCACAAACCATGAGATCATGACCGGAGGGAGCTGAAGTCGGACACTTAATTGACTGAGCCACCCCGGCACCCCACATATGTGATATAATTTTTAGCGAGATAAGAGAACCTATAATTCAAATGTAGGCTTTTTCTTGAAGACCCTTCATCAATCTCAGCCAAGACACATTTACTAGAATAACTGAATAAAAATAAAGAATTAAAATTAACTCTAAGTTAGAATAAGATGGAACTGTTGGAGACATGATCTCTTCTATGATTCTGAATTTGATTTGGAATTCACTTAACTTTTTAACTCTGATATCATCATCCGCAATATGACGGAGATCCCCAGTTCATTAGAGATTCCACCCACCTTGCCATTCAAGAATCCATGAAAGGATGCCAAGCTCTAATTTGATTCAGCAAACATCTATCAAGCACCTTCTATTTGCTCAGCACTGTGCTTGCTAGGTGTTCAAAACAGGAAATGAATAAAATACAGTCCCTACATGTCTTGAGGGACTTACAACAAAACGGAGCGAAGAGAACACAGAATCTGAGTGTTATGGGAACACCAATGGTACAACTCCTACCTATCCCGGAAAGGAATGCTAACGGCTTCTCGAAGGTGGGAACTCTCGGGCTAGCCTTAGCAGAACGGATAGGTAGAATTGCATCCAGTGGAAAATAGGGGCAGAAACCATGCCAGGCAATGGGGCAGCAGATACAAAAGCACAGAGGATTATATGCAGTATACAAAATGCATTGTTTATATAGAATGTAGAGAAAAGGTAAACAGGTTAAATGTTCACGATCTATTCCGAGAACGGGCATATACCCTAAATCCCTCAAACTAACCTGGGTTCTCCCCGGAATCCAGGCCTCACCCATCTCTATGCCCCTGGCACTGAGTGTGGTGATGGACACGTAGCAGGTGTGACAAAGATGCACAGTCGTTCCCCCATCGTCCCTTCTTGACTTCATCAAGAGCAACAGAAATGGACACGTGGCTGCTGGGCTAGGAGAAATGCCCCGGCCTCCCTTGCAACTTGGTATGGCCACGTGACCAGATTCTGTTCCACATTCTAGGAAGAAATGACACACACCAACATCTTAGTCCTGTCCTTAGGGGGAATGGAGCTTGCCTTTCCCTTTTTCTGTTCCCTGTCTTGCTGCTCTGACTGTGGACATAGTGTTGAGAGCTGGAACCATTTATGAGCCCCTCAAGTTGAGAAGGACACTGAATGCTCTTCAGTCCTTCTGCTCCTTGCATGCAGGCTGTGACGTGAAAGAGAAATAAACTCCTAGAGTACTTCTGTCTGTCGCTTTTAATCTGACTTCGGTTATAGAAGCTAAATGTGTAGTTACCTCAAAATACCTCAAAAACACCTCAAAATAATGTACTTCAAAATGTTTCTGGAATGAATGATTCACAGACTCTATAGTTGGAGGGGGGGGGCGGGGGGGGAGTGGGAGAGGATCAAGAGAGCAGCATGTGACTGGACTGTGAAGTACTTTGAACTTCACTTTCGAGACTTCAGATTTTATCTTATAGGGCATACAGAATTAGCAAAGCCTTTATTTGTTTTTTATTTTTTTAATGTTGATTTATTTTTGAGAGAGAGGGAGAGAGACAGAGCATGTGCAGGGGAGGGACAGAGTAAGAGGGAGACACAGAATCTGAAGCAGGCTTCAGGCTCTAAGCTGTCAGCACAGAGCCTGACATGGGGCTTGAACTCACAGACTACGAGCTCATGACCTGAGCGGATCATGACCTGAGCTGAAGTCAGACGCTTAACCAACTGAGCCACCCAGGCGCCCTCAGAATTAGCAAAGCCTTTAAATGTGAAAGTATGTGTTGTTTTATTAAAAAGTAGGAGAAAAAATCTCTAGACTGTTTGGTTTTAAAAACTAGTCCATAGTTCAATATTAGTAGAAATCTGAAGCTTTTGAACTTATATAATTGTCTACAAGAAATATCTATCCGCTAAAAACCGAAATCAGATAAAGTCAATAAAACTAGCTGTTTGGTTCATGTAGCTAAATCACAAATCTAATGAATTGTTAAGTTAGTTATTTTGCTATAATGCAAGATGCATGCAGGTAAAATATTAAAAGATGACAATGAAAGCTAGAATGACAAAAGCAGCAAATTAAAAATAAGTGTGGATAAATGTTGTCAAGGCCAGGTTTTTTTCTTGAATGTTTATTTATTTATTTTGAGAGAGAGAGAGAAGCCCATGCACACATGAGTGAGCAGGGGAGGGGCAGAGAGAGAAGGAGAGAGAGAATTCTAGACAAGCTCAGTGCTGCCAGTGCAGAGCCTGACACGGGGTTCGATCCCACTAACCGTGAGATCACGACCTGAGCTGACATCAAGGCTCGGACATTAACCAACTAAGCCACCCAGGTGCCCCAAGGCCAGGTAATTTTAAAAGTTCAAGGGATTTACATCTGGGAAGTCTATATAAAGTGTGAGAATTCATGTTTATTTACTCGTCCCTTTCTACGTTACTATTAGGAGAAATAAAGTACCCGGTGGGTGTTAAACACAGATGAAATGCTTCTCTGGAGAAGAAAACTCTTTGAAACAGAAGAATAAAACCAGCTCAAGAGAGGCCTTCTGCAGGGAAGCTGAAGGTTCCTTGTCAAGGCTGACTCTGCTGGAGCATTTATGGCTCTTTTTGTGGCTATGGTTTCCCTTCCCGCCACAGACACTATCCCATAGACTCACTGAACTCTTCCTTCACAGTATGTTGTTGCAAAGCCTCAGAGCCTGGTGTTCTGAGGTGCACCAAAAAGTTCTCCACTGATTTCAGTAAAAACAAACGAACGAGCAAAAAGGGACCAAATGTCTATTTCATCAACAGTATCATTCAGTCAATAATTACCATGGCCATGTATGTCCTAGGCACTAGGGATAAAAGAACAAGTACAATAACCATGGTCCTTGACTACAGAGCGACTAAAACCCAGGGGAAAAGACAAAGGGAGATGGGGAGATGGGGCAGGGAGAGGGAATATGGGAGCCATATTCCGAGTGCGGGAACATTATTGACAAAGGTCTTTGTGGCAGAAGAAAGAATGCTCAGTCTAAGAGCTGAAGGATAAAGGATGCGGGAGGGTGGGACAAGATTAGGATAAAAAGGTATACAATTGCCAGAAACAACTTTTATCATTACACTAACACCAGTGGGATTCTATTCATACAGTCAAGGGGCATGATCAAATTTGCATCATTTAAATTTTTTTAATGTTTATTTATTTTTGGAGAGAGAGAGAGAGAGAGAGAGAGAGAGAGAGAGAGAGAGCATGAGTTGGGGAGGAGCAGAGAGAGAGGGAGACACAGAATCTGAAGCAGGCTCCAGGTTCCGAGCTGTCAGCACAGAGCCTGACATGGGGCCTGAACCCACGAACCGCGAGATCATGACCTGAGTCGAAGTCGGACGCTTAACCGACTGAGCCACCCGGGCGCCCCAAAATCTGTATCATTTAAAACACACTCCGGTAGTGGAGCTGCAGCAAGAATGGAAGACGGCCAGAGAGGAGGCAGTGAGCAGCTTGGGAGCTGCCGTAACCATCCAAGTAAAATCAGATGGTATCTTATAGCAAGGAGGTGGCAGGGAAGAGAAGGGGCTAAAACCATGAAATATTTGGGAAATCAAAGTGGATAAGCACAAGTACAGAAAACAGAAAAATAAACCCAATGTAAAAAGATACCTGTTTCTCTCAGTGCGGGCTATTTCCCTCCACTAGTGAACTTCAGTCTCCAATAGCACAACCCATGATAAATCTTTATTTTCATGTCAGTTCCACTTTGCTTCTATTCTTGGTCAATCCTCATTTCTCTCAGAATCCCGAACAGGATCTCTCTTTAGCCCTCTGTCTCTTCCATTCAGCTCAACTTATTTTAGCCACTGAAAAGTACCACTCTATTTTTTTTTTTTTTTTTTGAGAGAGAGAGAGAGGGCGCACAAGCAAGGGAGGGGCAGCAAGAGAGAGAGAAAGAGAGAGAGGGAGAGAGTGAATCTCAATCAG